TTTCCTTTAAATGTGATCTGTTTCTTTTCTTTAGCGGCTTTTAGTATACTGTTCCTATGCTGAATTTCTGGGATCTTGATTATTATATGTCTGGGTGTGGTTTTCATTGGGTTGATGTTATTGGGAGTTGTATATGCTTTGGTTACCTGAATGTGAGATAGTTTCCCCATATTTGGGAAGTTTTCTACTATTACTTCTGCCCATATTCTTTTTATATCATTTGTATTGACTCCTTCCTTCTCATTGATGCCTATTAGTCTCACATTTTTCATGTTTGCATCATCTTGCAGGTATTGTATTATTTTTTCCTGCATCCTAGTTGTTTTTGAGAGATCTTTTCTTACTTTTTCACTAGCTGAAATGGTGTCTCTCAGGTCAGAAAGTCTATTTTCACTTTCCCTCAAACGGTTTTGCCAGCTTGTGATTGAGGTTTTAATTTCCTGTATATCACTTTGAACCTGTTTCATACATTCTATTTCTTTCCTAAATTGCTTATTTAGGGGTTCCATCATTTTTATATTCTGCACTATTTTTTTAATCAGTGTTTTTTGTTTTTTTTTTCTTGGCAGAACTGGGGATTGAACTCAGACCCTTGCACTTGCTAGGGAAGTGCTTATTCCACTGAGCCATCTCCCTGGCCCAATTAGTGTATTCTTTAGAAGCACTTAGTACTTCTTTGATTATAGTTATCACTACATTTTTTATTTCAGAAATTATTTCTGAAGGGGCCGGGGAGATGGCTGAGCAGAATAAGCGCTTGCCTGGCAAGCCCAAGTGTCTGAGTCCAATCCCCGGTTCCGCAAAAAACAAACAAACAAAAAAGAAATTATTTCTGATCTAATTTCTTCTATACCTTTCTGCAGCTGTTTCTTTACTGCCAACGCTATTATTTCAGAGATATCTGGTATGTGATTTTCAGTCTCCTCAGTGCTAGTGTCTTCTACAATTGTACTGGGTGGACTCAGGGCCTGAGACTGCATTTTGTTCTTTCTCTGTCATTTTGTATACCACTGTCTTCTGACCTTTGGTGTAGAGCTTAGATAGAGTTATTACCTTAGCACCAGGTCCAGATCTACGAAGTTCAGATTCCTCCAGGTTGGTGTTGCTTGGATCTGGCTGCTGTGCTCCATTTCTTCCTGCTGCAGCCGATAAAGTTGAACCCTTTGTGTCACTCTGGCAAGATGTTCTGCTCCTGAATCAGCTGGGTGGGTCTTGTCTCTAGCCTCTTTGCAGGGAGTTCTGCTGAAGGGTTCCACGCTGGGCCTGTACTCTGGGTCGAATGAGGATCCCGTGGGCCCCGGGCGGTCTCACTCGCATGCTGGGCCTGGGCTCTGGGTCTATTCAGGACCCTGCGGGCCCCAGGTGGTCTCATTCACTTGCCCGGCCTGCGCTCTGGGTCTCGGTTCATCATTCTAGAAGTAGAAATTGTTTCCAGAATTATTCTTGTTGCAGCCCTAAGCCCAATTGTTACTGTGTTTGGAGACAGTCTTTGTGGCTGAAGTTAAGGCCTATTAATGAGGAATAGGAGGGCATGATCCTATGGAACCAGTTCCTCAAACAAGGCCTCAGCCAGCAGGTGGCCCCTGCAACTGAACAGGACTCTGCCAGGCACCAGCCCTGACCTTGGAATTCCAGTCTCCATAACTCCAGAGCGCTGCACTTCCACTTTTCAGCCACTTGTCTCTGGTACTTTTATGGCAGCCAGGGAAGATGAACAGGGAGTGATATTGATAGATACTTGCAGTGTGTGGCATAATTGCCGTGGCCTGGAAGCCACAGGTCACTGAGACACTAGAACAATGTTTTACTATTTTTATTTATTTATTTATTTATGACACAAACATTTCATAATGTAGTTCAGGTTGGCCTTGAATTCACAATGGAATCCAGGCTGACCTCAAACAGCAATAGTCCTGCATCAGTCTCCCAAGTGCTGGGATTACAGGAACATGCTGCCATGCCTGGCAGGTCTTTGCTTTTGTTTTGTTTTGTGTTAATGTAAAATCTCAAACACATGGAAATGGAGGGAATCTAATGAAGCCACGTTCCTGTCCACTGACAGCTTCAGCAATTGCTCACTGAGGCAGGTTTTGTCTCACTGACCAGGACTGCATGGATGTGAGAAGAGCCTGACTCTGACTCCTATAGTGGACACCAGATCCAAGGTTCCTGTCCAAGAGGCAGGAATACACAGGAGACAGTGCTCCGACCCAAATCCTTCCTCTCCTCCACAGGTCACGGATGGATGCCAGGGTCGCTCAGTGTCCTTTGCCCATGAAGGAGCAGCCAGGGGAACAGGATGTACATGCAACAGGACCTCACTGGGCAGCAGCCAGCCTCATGGCCTTTGCATCATTGGAGGTTGGCCAAGCTACATCTGAGATGGCATACAGATGCTGAGATGGCATCCAGGTGCTGGAGGAAGGGGATGCCTGCATCAGAGGGTACCCTGTCACCTCAGCTGGACCCCACCACCCTGTCAGGGGGCTGGGCTCCTGTCTCCCCTTGTGACCAGGAGGGCTCGGCATCCATGCCTGGTCTTGTACCTGGTAAGTCATCTTGTTTTTGTTTTTTTTTTTGTTTTTGTTTTTGTTTTGGTGGAACTGGGAATTGAACTCAGGCTCTTGCGCTTGCCAGGGAAGCACTTATTCTACTGAGCCATCTCCCCAGCCCAGTCATCTTGGTATAAGGCCATCATAGAACCTTGCCTGGCTCCCAGGCAGTTGTCCCTTTGCTGTAATTCCTTATCTTTCAGAGGCAGCAAGATGGATGTTACATTGTTTCTTCTCTTTGTTTGTTTCCTTGATTCAGTATCTTGCTATTTACCCAGTCTGGCCTCAAGCTTACAGCAGTCCTCTTGCCTCTGGCACTCTAGTGCTGGGATCACAAATGTGCGCCATCACCAGTGATTACTTATTCTTTTTTTAATGACCCAGGAGCCACTGGTGTGGCCTTCTGGGTTCTCTTTGTTGCTTCTCACCAGATGCCCTGGTTACATTCACAACACAGGAGACCCTTGGCTGAGCCATATCCAAAAGGCAGTGTCCTAAGAACCACTGTGCACTGAGCCTGAGGCCTATGGAAACCAAGCCAGCAGTCTGGAAAGGCTGCATGAGGCACTTGACATTTGACTGTCTTCTGTGAAACACCAAAGTGACACCATCTTGGGGAATCTGGAGTTAAAGAGGCAGTGTACACAAAGGTGCTTAGCAGTGATATTTTAGAACGAAAACTTTCACCAGGTTGTGCTGTGGTAACAGACCCCATAGTCTCAGGCTCCACACTCAAAGGCTCACTTGGTTGGTGCTGCCCTGGATGCTGTTGAGCTCACTGTGCCTCCATCCAAGGACCCAGGGTGAAAAGCCAGCCTTAACTGCACCCTGCAGGGCACAGGGGAACAGGAAACCGTGGTGGCTTCTGAAGCTTCTGCCTAAGCAGAGTGCATTGACCTTGGGAGCAACAACGTTGACCTCCAGGAAGAAGCTAGTAGAATAATTGTGAATTATACACCACCACTCCCATCCCAGAACCCAAGTTACACAGGCACCATCCAGTAAGGAAAGCATAAAGCTTCTCTGGGTGTCTGGGAGGGGCAGGAAGGAGCCAATGCCCACGAGCTGGGGTGCAAACTCGACAGAAAGACTGCTGCTTCCGTCTCCCCAGGAATGAAGCAGAGGCCTTGCAGTAGCTTTTTGGACACTGAGTGTAAGTCTGCCCTGGGGCATGGGTGGGAGTGCAGGCCCACCAAGCTCAGGGCCGAGGTTTGATCTCCAGTCCCCCAAAAATAAAGCTTGATAAACAGCCTCGAGAGAGGTGCAGTGATGTGCCCTGTAACCCTGGTTACTACTTGGGAGACTGAGCTAGGAGGATCTATGTGTTGAGCCCAGGATGGGAAACATGGTATGACCCTGTCTTAAAAAAGCTTTAAAGGGGGACTGGGGAGATGGCTCAGTAGAATAAGTGCTTCCCTGGCAAGTGCAAGGGCCTGAGTTCAATCCCCAGTTCTGCCAAAAAAAAAAAAAAAGCTTTAAAGGGCCAGGGATGTAGCTCAGTGGTAACCTGCAGGCTCAACCCTCAGGAGGCAAGGTAGAAGGGAGGGAAGAAAGAAAAGACCAGGTGTGTTGGCACAGGCTTGTAAAGAGGTTAAGGAAGGAAGATCACAAGTTTGAGCCCAGCCTGGGCAATCTAGTGACTTTGTGAGATTGTGTAGAAATGAAACGTGTTGAAGATGTAGCTCGCTGCAAAGGCCCTCAGTTCAATCCCCTGTGCTCCTCACCCGACACAAAAATAGCCAGGTGTGGTGGAGCATCCCTGGAGGGTCGGCCATTCGGAAGGCTAAGGGAGGAGGATGGCAAGTTCGAGGCCGTCCCGGGCAACCTGGTGAGAGCCTGTCAGAAAAGGGCTGGGGGTGTGGCTCGGCCGCCGTCCCTACCCCCGGACGGTCGCGGCGCCGGAGCTCCCGCCAACTTTCCGGCCGAGGACCGAAGGCGCAGGCGCGGTCCGGCCCGCCG